TTTTTTTTTTTTGTATCTAAAATTTAATTTATTTACGAGATTATAAAAACTATTGCATTTGCCATCCTATCTATACCATAAAAACAGAACAAAAAAACAACAACAACATATTCTTTTTTTTTAAACATATGTGTCCTCATCTTTAATCAGATCATCGATAAATGGTAAGCGTGAATATAATATTGAATGTTCATGACAATTAATTTGTTCGTCATTATGTATTTGCACATCATGATAGATTGATTCCAAAGTTGGAAATACATCGGGAGTTGAGCATTCTATATCTTGGAATTCAACAAGATAACGACGATAACGTCGACGAGCTATCAATAAACGTATTATTATTGGTAAAAGACCACAAAATATTGTGGAAGAAAATATCATTATTAAAGCTAAAATAAGCCAATTGTCTACTGGCATTGTTACATAGATAATAATTTATTACACTTATAAATAATTGATTTAGATCGAGCACCATCGAGACAGAACCTAAAAAAAACAAAAAAGATAATATATTTGAAATGAAAGATATGCTAGTTTTTAACTCAAATTATTTCCTCATAAATGAAAATTACCATAATCGATAAAAATATTATTTTCTAAAAAATCGGGTTAATGGCATTATTGTTCTCAGCTCTTATATTAAAGAACTACTTCATATTCTTCACTACAATTCGTTTATTGATTTAGGAATTTTATATACGTCAATTTTTCTTCTTCCTGAAGAATTTCTTATCTAGTTGTTTTAATCAATTTTTCTTTGCTGATTCTTTTGTAATAAATGCATATTTTGTTGACGAAAAAAAAAAACAAGAAAACGAAAATAATATTCTTACTTATTTTTATCGACAAGTTAATATAAAAGTCGTGCCAACGATATAAATTCAATAGCTATTGACATATTCCAAAAGAAAAGGTTGCAACTAAAAACAAGATAATAATCATATTGAAAATGAGAAGATTTGTTTCTTTTTTATTAAGTAACATGAAATCGAACAGATTACAAAAAGAAAAAGAAAAAGAACACTTTTCAAACACAGATCTTTATCAATCAATCTTCTGCTGTTCATAATAGGAAACGAAAACCTTCAAAGAGCAAATCAAAAAAAAAACAAAAACAAACGACATAATTATATTAATAAACTAATAGCACTGTTCACAAGAACACCAGGTTATCTTTTCTTTCTTCTGCTCGTAAATATAATATTTCGTATTTTGTATAGCTTTATCTGACTAGCTAATATGAAAAAAACAAAATAATAATCATAATAATAAAAATGCGAGAAAATATTTATTTATTTATTTATTTATTTATATTAGCTATTGTTTCATTAAGTGAATTATTGTTTAGTATTGGCACTGGTAAATCACCATTACTTGCTGTAACTAATGTATTTGTTTTTTGTTTTTTTGATTCTAATGTTAAAAATCCATAACATTTTTGTACTAATGGCATTGTAAATAATAATAATGCAGCTAATGCTGTACCAATACCAATAACAAAATATGTTAAAGCATATGAATTTAAATCAGCAACAAAACCTTTATTTAAAAAAAAATTAGGAGAAAATAATTTTGTTTTTTTTT